TACGTGTGGGCGGGGCCTGAGGGAAGGGCGGGGCCTCCAGGCCCGAGCGCCTGACTCGTGTTTGCGCGGGCCTCGCGGGGCGGGGCTTGTGGTGGGCGGGGTCTGGTGGCGAGGTAGTGGGCGGAGTCTAAGAGAGCCCGCAGGCCCGAGTGTCTCTGGATTGGGTCTTTTGTGGGATGGAGAATAAAGAAGAGTCGGGTGGAACTCTGGAAAGTGGGGTTCGAAAGCTCACGTGGGGTAAGAGGTGTGAGTGCGTGACTCAGAGAGGGGCTTGTGGGTGCTGAGGGGGCGGGGCTTGAGAGTGGACCGGGGCCGTGTGGCTTCCGGCACGACCGGGTGGCAGGGTCTTGGAGGTGGACCCAGGGGTGTGGGCGGGGCACATGGACAGGGTGTGGCTTCTGGAAAAAACAGAGGGGCAGGGCCTGAGGGCGGACTCGGGCTTGTGGGCGGGGTCGCGGTCCCCGCGGCGCCCCTGACTCACCGCGGCCCTCCTCCCGCAGAGTCGTGCGCGCACGTGGTGTGCCCGCGGCCGCAGTCGTGCGTGGTGGACCAGACTGGCAGCGCCCACTGCGTGGTGTGTCGCGCGGCGCCGTGCCCCGCGCCCTCCAGCCCCGGCCAGGAGCTCTGCGGCAACAACAACGTCACCTACATGTCCTCGTGCCACCTCCGCCAGGCTACCTGCTTCCTGGGCCGCTCCATCGGCGTGCGCCACCCGGGCAGCTGCGCAGGTGCGGGCCAGGGCGGGAGCGGCGGCGGGGTCTAGCCCCTCGCCCCTCTCCGCGCCCATATTTCTCTGTTCGTTCCTCCCGCTTTGCAGGCTCCCCTGAGCCGTCAGATGCTGAGTCGGAGGAGGAGGAAGAGAACTTTGTGTGACCTGCGGGGCGGCCTGGGCCTGGCGTTCAAGGCCTCCCACTTTATTTATTGCCACAGCAGAGCCTAATTTATGTCCCACGGACACTCCCTAGAGCCTGGATCGGACCACTTGGGGGAGCCCTGGGAGCCCCATCCCCCAAGATATCTTGAGGATTGGGGGAAGGAGGGCTGGGATCCGCGCTGGTGGGTGGGACCGCCACCCCAGTACCCTACTACCCAGGAGGACCTCAGGCTTCTGCTCTCTGGCGCATAACTATCGATTGTCACTGCCACTCAGAGGGCTGTGGATTCTGTGCCAGCGATTAATGAAAAGGCACCCCAGCCCTAGGACAGGGACCAGGGGGTGAGGAGCAAGTCCACAGCCCAAATGTGTGTAGATGAGCCTCAGAAGATGCCCAGACAGGGGACAGGCCGAGGAAGTAGCCTCTGTACCCTACTGGCCCACGAAGTCAGGGCTCTCCTCTCCTGCTGCCTCCATTTACTCAGTAAGTCCTGAGAAAGCCCCTGGGGAGAGCCCGGCTTATTTCCTGGGTGGGGCGCTCTCTGTGCCTCCTACGTGGGTCTCGGGCATGGAGCCACCAGCATTCGCCCAGGACGGGGCACCATGTCTAGTGTGCCTGATCCGGTTAGGGTGCGACCCAGCAGGGCCCAGGAGCCCCCGCTCACCCACTGGCTCTGGTGGGGTGTAGACACCAAAGCCCACTGCACTCCTGGCCTCCTGGAACTATGTGTCGGAGCAGCACCCCTAGTGCGTATTGCCCTGTCCACAGGTGAGGTCCAGACCCGGGACCCCTCGGTGCCACGAGGCCAGCCTTTGCCGGGTCTCTGGACTCTGCTTGCCTACCAGCCAGGCTCAGGGGTCTCGACCCCCACCCTAGAGCCGATTCCCTCCGTTCCAGCTGGGTTGTCGCTCTGTGTCACCTCCCCGTGCCTTCGTGTAGACCAGAGGCTCAGACCAGATATGGGGGTCTGACAGGGCAGGAACCCAGCTCCTCAAATTTGAGATGAGGGATGCAGGGGACAGTGTGCTCATCCTCTCCCAGCCCCCGGGAAGTGCCTTACCTGTGACACCCAGAAAAGTGCTCTTGAGTAGGTGGGTTCGCCCGAGCTCCCCCCACAAGGCAACCTCCCCGCCCTGGGGTCCTGCCTCACCAAAGAAATAAAGACTGTCAAAAGCGACCTTGGGGTCCAGGCCTGGTCTGCCCGTCTCTGAGCCTCTGTGCTGCCCACTTTGGTGTGGGGTTACCAGCCTGGTTGCGGTGAAGGTAGTGAGTGGGGGCCACTGGGAGCGTCCTGGGGAGGGACGCAGGTGCGTGTCCTCAGGGCAGCCACCTCCGGGCAGTAGGCAGCAGCCAGGGAGAGGGCTGTGGTAGGTGGGGTGGGTGGATGAAAGGGGGTTTGAGGAGAGGCCCAGCCAGGCCCTCGGCCACCCAGAGGCCAAGACGAAGCTCCAGGAGTACAAGTGAACCGTTATATCTGGTTAGTTAACATTTTATTCGGTTATTTTGGCTCTTTTTGTGTGGCACTGATGCCCGCTTCCAACCCCAGGCTTAATGGGTCTGGGGACCCCGTGGCCCCCCCGCGCCACCAGCCACAGGATTTTACAGGGCTGGAGCTGTTGGCATCAGTCACCACCTCGTTTGTGTACCCAGCATGAGCTGCCGGGGTTCAGGCAGCTCCTGCTGGGGGACCCCAGGGGTCCTGGGCCCGGGGCTGGATGGGCACCTGCCGCACTACGTCCCAGATCCAGGTCACGAAGGCGGACACCTGCGTGTACACGTCAGGGGTCTTGGGGTCCCCGCACCAGAGGCCGGAGAAGGAGACGAGGCCGTGGGCCCGGTTCCTGCACACCAGGGGCCCCCCAGAGTCCGCCTGGGGTGGAGGGAAAGGCCAGGTCAGGGGTCCCGCTCTCAGCCTCAGCTTCTCTGAAGGTGCCTCTGCGGGTAAATCTCCCCGGGCCCCCTTCGTGCCCCCAGCCCTTCCATGGCCCCTAGTGCTCTTACAGCAAAGATTAAACCCACTCCAGCCTTCGAGAACCTGAAGACACCCCCTCTCTGCCCGTCTCCCCCCACGCACCCGGCTCTAGCCACGGCAGCCTTCTGGGCTGTTCCTGGAGCAAGCCGGCTCCGTCCAGCCTCAAGGCTTATGCACCCCCTTGAGGCCTGTTACTGCACCCCCCCACACACACACTGTAGTGTAAGCATACAAGGCACCCGGCTCCAGCCACCGCAGCCTTCCGGGCTGTTCCTGGAGGAAGCCAGCTCCGTCTAGCCTCAAGGCTTTTGCACCCCCTTGAGGCCTGTTACTGCACCCCCCCCACACACACACTGTAGTGTAAGCATACAAGTCTGCAGCCCTGTGGGGGTCTCCCCTCCTCAGCTCGAAGGCACTGTCCTCAGAGAGGCCTCCCCAAGTATTCACCCTAAAATTCCTGCTTCTTCCCTTCTGCTCCCCTCCTGGCCCCACCACCCTAATTGTCATGTGGCGTCATCTCTGACCCTATGAAGTGGCAGTTTTATAGATGGATAAAATGAGGTCCAGAGAAATGACTTTCCCAAGGTCGCACGTCTGGGACGTGGCACGGTCTGGATCTGGCCCCAGGCAGCTGGGCTCCAGAATCTGCATTCTCAACCTCTGTCCTCTCTGGCCTGGTTCCTCCCTTGCACTAGGGCCACGGGTCCACCAGGTGGGGGATCAGGACCCTGTGCTCCTTCCTCGAGATCCCTTACTGCCCCCTACTGGACACTGCTTGCAAATACGCGAGTCCGTAGCTGTGCTGTGCACAAGCCGGACGTGTCAGCCCTGGACCCCAGGCCACTCCCTGCCCTTCCGGGGCCTCCAGTGAGGCCTCCTGGCCAAAGGTGAGCTAGGACTTAGTTCCCAAGGCTCTGCCCAGGCAGGTCTTCCCCTCTCCCGGGGCCTCGGTTTCCCCATTCGGTGAGCGAGCGGGACGGAGAGTGCCTTACTGAGCAGAAGCCTCGCCGCCGGTGGTCCCCGCTGTGGGCGCAGAGCATGGCGGGGCTCAGCTGGCCCTTCCAGGAGCTGTTGCAGACGTCCAGGCCCAGCACGCGCACCTCAACCTCCATCAGCCCGGGCGGCAGCTCCTCAAAGTTGGACACGGAGCCCCAGCCGGCCACCTGGCACCGCGCCCCGGGCCTGAGCGGCCTGGCGTTTCTCCTTGGCAGCCCCAGCAGCCCCACGGCGGGGCCCAGGGCAGCAGAGCTGTTCAGCTGCAGGGAGAGACCGCCCCCAACCGTCACCGCTGCCCCATCTGTGGTCTCTCGGCCTCGCGGAGAGGAACCAACGGCAGCGTCATTAAGCTGTTGGCACCCCTCGCTCATGAGGCCTCCCCCAACCCGGGCCAGGACTATGGCCTCTCCCCACCTCTCCAGCTGCTCAGAGGCATCTCGCTCCCGGCCCTGGGCTCTCCCATGGCTCCCCATTGCCCTCGGGATAAAACCTCTTGGCTGACCATTCCGGACCCATCCAGCCAGAATGAATTCACTGCCATGCCCTGGGCCCGCCTCCACCCTTTTGCTCACAGCGTACCCCCCACCTGGAGCACCTTTCCCGTCCAGCCTTCAGGTCTCAGCTTAGACGTCGCCTCCAGGAAGCCTTCCCAGACTCTCGGACTAGGACAGACGGGCTCCTATGTGCTGCCCTTTTAGATGGGAGGCTCTGAGGGGGCCAGCCCTGGGGTTCGCTCATAGCTGTGTCCCCGGTGACCGGCACACAGCTGGCACTCACTGTATTTGACCCTGGCTTCAGTGCTCATTCCTTGACCTCGGGCACATCCCTGACCGGCCCCGGCCTCAGTTTCCCCGTGGGCGCAGCGGGACGGGCGAGTCGGAGCAGCGGGTTCTGGGCTGTGGCCGCTGACAATCTCTGTCCCCTTCCTGTTTGCCAGGAGAGCCCTGCATGCCAGACCCTTCATCCCCAGGGACCTGTTTTGCCCTCTCCTGGTTTTAATTTTTCACCACATTTGGAGGGCAAGTTGGAATGTTCTTCCTTGAAAACAGAGGCCCTGGGGTACCTGGAATTGCATTTGGGGAGCCTGGGCGAGCGCTGCAGGACATACCATGCGGTGGTGGGGGGGGCTCACATCTAACAGAAGAGCCACTTCCTGCCCAGACACCGCGCGAAGGGCCGAGGGGCAGGGATAGGGTGCTTCCGGCAGTAGCGCCCCCGAATGCTGAGGCCCTCTGAGTGCTGTAGGTGGCCATAAACCAGGGGAGCGGGGAGGGGCAGGGTGCAGGCTGGGGGCCATCGGGGGACAGCTCCTGGGGACGTTTGAGCAAAGGCTTGACCTGACTCAGGTGTTCCAGTATCATCTGGCTATGTTTAAAACACATCAGGTCATCCTGGGCGTGGCCGAGACAGGCCAGACCTACGTCCAGTACCACCCCCCACGAAACTCACCTGCAGCAGGCAGATGTCATTGGCGTGGGTTGTGGGCTGATAGTTGGGGTGCCTGATGACAGCCGAGATGCCGAACACCTGCTGGGTGGGCTCTGGGGTGCGCAGGGCATGGGCCCCCAGCACCACCAGGCCCATGCGGGGGTCTCTGCGGTGGGGAGGAGGCTTGTGAGCGGGGCCAGGGCGAGGGCCACCTGTCACGGGCCTCGGTCTCCCCATCTACCGAACGTTTGGCACAGCAATTCGTTTAATCCTCACTCCGGTCCCGCCGTGATAATAATTGTTATGTTTGTTAGTTTTCCACCTCAATCATGCCATTAACTCTAATCGTTGCAGTATTAATTTTAATAACTGTTATAAACTCTACTTAGAATGAATGGAATGCTTATTACATTTATTACGATTTCCACCTAACATTATGCTGTTACCTGAAGGGGTCCCGCACAGGCTCCCCTTTGACGTGTGGACTCTTTTGAGCTGACGAGGGATTTCTGCTCCCCACTTGACCACCCCTCGGATCTAGACTTGGGGCCCTTGCCCAAAATGCGAGTCACCAGGACGAGTGAGGACCGGGCTGCACGGCAGGCAAGCTTCTAATCACTGGGCCTCTGCTGTTCTTAGTGGCCCAAGAACGACCCGGTCACCTTCCCTCCGTCACCCCAGGCACGTGACCTCCTCCCAGCTCAGGACGCCATGCACACCCCTGTTCCTGTCCGTGGGAGCCCCACCACGCGGGGTTCCCACGTACACGTATGTACCAAATCGGGTTATTTTCTCTTGGTGCCCCCCCTTACACAGGTGTAATTACTAGGCCACCAAGGGGCAGAGAATTTCTCCTTCCAATAGTTTCACTATTAATGTCGATGATTGTAACAATACTTAGACTGAACGCAGGGATCATATCGGCTTATTGTCACGCGGTGTCCTTCGGCACTTGTCCCCCTGTTGTGTGGCACGGCTGGCCCCACCGACGGAAGGTGGGGTCTGCCGTCCAGCCTGTGCCCCATCTAGAATATTGCGATACCCACAGCAGGGCCACCCACTTCCCCCCACTGTGGTCACAGCATCCTGGGGTCCCAAGTGGCAGCGGTCAGGGCACGGGCCCCCAGGTGGCTCACCGGTCATTGAAGCAGTGGGCGGCTGAGACCACCCAGCGGGTGCGGAGCAGGAAGCCCCCGCAGTGGTGCTGGCCCTCGAAGCTTACCGATGCCATGTAGGGACGGGAATGGGGGGTCGCCTCACGGCCCCCGATGATCCGGGCTCCCCAGGAGCCTGCAGGCGGGGCAGGGGGGCAGCGTCAGGGGCGGGACAGGAAGATGGGCTAATGTGGGCAGCTCGGGCACCAGATGGGATGGGAGTCAAGCTGGGGAGAAAGGACAGAGACCGAGGTGGCCAGAGAGACACAGAGACTCAGGGAGCACGTGGGCGATGAGGAGTCCCAGGGGGGCCCTCGAGTCCGCTGGGAGGAAGTCTGGACCCCAGAACCTGGGCCCAGTCGAGACCTTGGCGAGGTGTCCTGCCCCTCTCCCTGCTGTGGCCCCAGAGGCCAGTCAGCCCGGGGCCCACATGGGGCTACCTGCAGTTTTCCCGGGGTGGGTCTGGGGGAGCCTCGAGGCACTTGGGGAGTTCCTGGGTGGGGCCCAGGGGGTTCTCACCTGGGGGCCTCGCGGACAGCATCAGGGCAGTGGCCACAATCAGTAGCAGGTGGCCCCGGTCCCCCGCCCCAGGTCCCATGGCCGGCGCAGGCTGCTGCCTCCCTCAAAAGCTGTGTGGTTGTGGTCCTCACCCTCGTCTAACGTCCCGGAAAAGGGGAGCCCAGCGGTGGCCTGTGGTGTGAGGCCCCACCGGGCTCCGCCAGCAACGCCCAGATCTGAGCTGGAGGCTCTGGGAAGCCAATGATTCGACCGCTCGGGGTTGCCGATCACAATCGCAAAGGAGGAAACAGAGCGGGGTGAGGGCGGGCCCTGGGGGCTGCCTGCCCAGGCCAGCCCCGGCTCCGCCGGTCCCTGCGGCCCCGGCCACCTGCCCTCTCTGTGCCTCGCTTTTCCAGCGTCTGTCCCCAGGCCCGGGTCAGTGTGCCGGCCACAGGGCCCTGGGGGCTGGTGTAAACATTACACAGAGCTGCCGGCTGCACGTGGAGCTGGACTTCGTTTCGTCCGGGGCGGGAGCAGCCCGAGGATGTCAGCAGTGTTCCTATCTCTATGTTGCTTATGGGGAAAATGAGGCACGGCACGGTCAGGCGCCTTGTCCACGGTCACACAGCGAGGGAACAGTGGGGCTGCGGTCGCATCTCAGGACAGCTCCTGTCGCCTCTGTCGGTGGCCAGTTCTGCCCAGAGCCAGCCCCATTTCCTTCCTGTCTGCTGAGCCATTGGGAAACAGGCAACTGTCCTTCACGGCCCCATGGCGCCAAGCTCCCCGCAGCCCTGGGGGTGGGCTAGGGGCCCGGTGTGTCCGTTTCCCAGCCCGAGGTTCAGATTGGGGAGCCCGGCCCGTCTGGGGCTGCAGAGAAGAATGTCCTGGACTGTGGTCCCTGAGGGGTCTTTCGGAGGGGGACTGCGGTGGCTTTCCTGGTCAGGGCAGACTCCGTGACAGCGGTAATGGCGATGGTGATAACCATAGCTCCCTTTACTAAACACTTACTTTTGTTATTGATTTGTCGGCACTCTTTATATATTGAGATGAACTCATGGGCATATCAATTCCTTTTCCTGAGCAACTATCAGGTGCACAGGACACAAGTCCCTGGGGAGGGGGTTTGGGTTCTACTGACTTGCAGATGGACCGGCCAGAGCTGGGTGGGCCGATCAGGTCCCCGGGCCTCTTCCTTTGGGTCCCCAGGGACGTGGCACAGGCCAGGAGGCTAGCAGGGGTCCAGGCTGTGGCGTGCCACTCCGTATGGGCCTGTGGTTCCAGTTATGAAGCTGGGGAGGGGGCCTCCCCAGCCCCTTGCCCCTGGGATCCAGTATGTCTTGTGTCCTGCTTACCCCTCCCTAGCGCCCTTTGGGGTCAGGGCTGGAATCAGGGCTGGGGGGGATGTAGAGGGGGTCCCTGGCTCATGGACAGGGGAGGTGTGGGCTTTGGGGGCCCATGCAGAGCTCTGTGGGAGGCCACGGGCCCCAGAGGATATGTGTGTGTGTGGTGTGGGGTGGACACAGCTGCACGATGGGCTCGGGGCAGGAGTGGGGGCGGGGTGTGCTGGGCAGAACCCCGGGGACCGCGGCATCCAGGAGGAGCCAGAGTGACCAATGCGGGGGGAGGAGGAGGGGTGTCGTCGTAGAAACCGCGGTTGGTGGTGGTCCAGGAAGGGGGCGGGGCTGCGGGCGCAGGGACCGCCCCTCCCAGACAGAGGGGCGCTGCGGGCTCTGGGCTGAGAGGAGGAGGAAGGGGGTGGTGTGGACTCCTCTCTGGAGGGAGAAAGGTCGACTCAGGCCCACTGCCCTCGTCCCCGACACAGCCCGCCCTGTCCCACCTCCAGGCCTTTGCCGCCCGGGACGCTTCCCCCACCGACTCCGTCTGGCTGTATCTCCCCAGCTCTCTGGCGCCACCTCCTGGTTGGTCTCCTGGAAGCGACCGCCTGCACGCCTGCCTGGGGTGTGGACATCAGGGTACCCCAGCGGGGCCTTGAGAGCCACCGGGAGGACTTTGGCTTTCCATGTGAGGGAGGTGGGCGCCTTGGGAAGTTTAGGGCTGGGAAAGGCCGTGAATGGTTTGTGAGGATGGCAGAGATGCTTCCAGCAGCCCCTCCCCATCGGCGAAATGCATCCAGCCGCCCTCAAATGTCAAATCATCTATTTAATAAACAAAAGAACACCCTTTCTCCTCTGCGTCTCTGGCACCTAACACTGCCAGGCGCACAGTAGGTGCTCAATAAATCTTTTGGGCCGAGTGGATGCAGAGGATGAGGGGCAGTATTGGAATTACAGCTCACTTTTGCTGAGGGCCAGCCTGCAGGTCAAATCTTGCCCACTGCCTGTTTCGTAAATAAAGTTTCATCGGCACACAGCCACACCAATGTGTGTACACTTCAATGGCAGACCTGGGCCCGCAATGCTGAAAAAATTTACTATCTGGCCCTTTTCAGAAAGAGTTTGCCAAACTCTGAGCTACTGTGTGCTGGGCCCTGTTCCAAGTCCTTCGTGTGCATTCACCCCGTTAACCCCCCCAGCTGCCCTGGGAGGTGGGATGTGAGACCCAGCAAGGTTCAGAAATGGACCCAGGGTCACACAGCACCGGTGGAATGAAGCTGGGCCTCGAACCCAGGGCCCCAGATGTTTCTTGGGTTCTTTTTGTTGTTGTTTTTTTCTGGGTTTGCTACTTTATCTCGTTGTTTTAATGCGAAATGCATGCACGTCATTGTTAAGAGGGGGAAAGCAGGGGACCCGGTGGCTACTGTCTGCTGCCTGCGCCCACCTCCCCCCCCAACAGGTTTCCTCATCCGGGAGCCCCACCCCTAGCTCGGGCCAGGCCTTGCCCTGAACTCCAGTTTGGGCATCCAGCTGCCCACCCAATGTTACCTTTTTCATCCCCCAACCTCTCTCCAGGGGCTCAGTTTGCAATGGGAGGGGACCCCAATGCCTGTTCTCCCACATCCCATCTGGGGGCAGTCCTGTCGGCTCCCCCTTCATGATCCACCCAGAACTCATCTGCCTATCGACCTGGTCCAGGCTCTGCTGGTCCAGTCTCCCCGGGGGAAGGGAGGGGCCCCAGTTCAGCCTCCTCCCGGCCTCCCCACTCCTTTCTGCCCTTCTCATCCACTCCCCACGTGGTGGAGGGAGGCGCCTCACGAAAAAAAGCCGCGCGGGTCCCTCTCCTGCTCTAAATTCTGCCGTGGCTCCCCAGTGCCCTCCAAACAAAGCCTGAGTCCCTCTTGCTCCCTCCTCCACACACCCCCCCCGAGCCCCCCACTCACTCTCCTGCGGGGCAGATTTTTAACCATCAACCCTCCTCCAACTCCACAGCATCAGGCCCAGCGCCCGGCGAGCGCTCGGAAGCCCAACAACCGTCGCGTTAACAGC